GTCATTTGTGAAAACATGGATATATTTTGAGAATATCATGCTAAGCAAAATAAGTCAGGCAGAAAAAGTCAAGACCCATGTGATTTCATTCATATGTGGGATATAAAACTGAAAGCAACCAATGATCGCACAAGACAAACAAAAACTCATGGACACATGTAACAGTGTGGTAGTAACCAGAAAGAAAGAGGGAAGGTGGGGGGGTAGTAAAGGGTAAATAGTATTAAATATATGGAGATAGAGGGAGAGTTGAATTTGGGTGGTAAACATACAATGCAATTATATAGTATAGAATTGTACACTTACAACCTATATAATTTTATTAACTAGTGTCACCCCAACGAATGTAATTTAAACAATTTAAAGAAGAAAAAGACATTTCCTGAAAGGAAAAGCAAAGGAAACCTTGGCACCATCTACCATGCTTCATGACTAAACAAAATTGTTTTCTGTCTGGTGGCAACTTGGACTTGCAGCCTCTTCTTGATACTGCACAAGAGGGAGGAATCACACTGGTAATGATTGTCCTGGGTTTTCTCGCAACCTTGATATCCTGACTATTTTTTCCCTCAAATAGTCTTAGTGTTCTCTACTACATCCTGACTACAATGGAGAGCTCCTGAAATTATCTCCTCAAGGTACAGGTAGAAATACTATTCCATATACAAACTCATACTTTTCTTTTATATTTTTTTCAATTACAGTTGTTAATATTATTTTATATTTTATATTAGTTTCAGGTGTACAGCACAGTGATATTTTATGAAGTAATTCCTCCAATAATTCTGGTACCTAACTGGCCCCATACAGGGTTATTACACTATTATTGACTGCATTCCCTATGCTGTACTATATCCTCATGACTATTTTGTAACTACCAACGTGTAATTTTTAATTCCTTCACCTTTTTCACCCAGTATCCACCCCCTCCAATCATTGCTTCTCCCATCTGGCAACTGTCAACAAACTCATACTATGTATTTAAACCTTTACAGCTCTTTTCAGTATCTTAAGCAATCATATAGCTATAATGGTAGCAAGTGGAATCTTGGGCATCATGTGGTATAATCCACTTCTCCTAAATGAGGAGCAGGGAGAGAACAACATACCTGATTGATATCCTATTATGCAGCCAGTGCCTAGATCTCTGGTCTGTCTGGCTCTTTGCATGCTAACAGAGCAGGCTTAAAAACATTTTTAGGTCAAATTTTTTTCAAGAGTGAACTCAGCTCAGGGCCAGTGGAAAGATAAATTTTTGTTTTCTCTTAAGCTATTGGTAATCTTTATTAAATCAGAGTGAATATACTAAAGGTCCCTATTAGGGGCTGAATTATGTCTTTGCAAAATTCATGCGATGAAGGCCTAATCTCTAGTACCTTAGAATACATTTGGAGATAGGGTTTTAAAAGAAGTTATTAAGTTAAATGAGGCCATTGAGGTGAGTCTTAATCTAATCTGACTGGTGTCCTTATAAGAAGAGGAAATTTGGACACAGAGAGACTCAGAGATGTACACACAGAGGAAAGACCATGTGAGGACACAAAAGAAGACAGATGTCTTCAAGCCAGGATGAGAGGCCTCAGAAGAAACCAACTCTGCCAACATATGATCTTAGATTTATAGCTTCCAGAATTGTGATAAAATACATTTCTGCTGTTCAATCGACACAACCTGTAGTATTTTCTTATTGTAGCCCCAGCAGACTAATACAGTCCCCTTGTCTTCTTCTAATAATTTAGTAACTAAGATCTACCTTTAAATAAATTCCCCACTTAATATCTATAAAAACTCTATAGTGTAAATCAAGGGTGTCAAACTCATTTTCACTGGGGGTCACATCGGCCTTGCACTTGCCTTCAAAGGGCTGAATGTAGTTAGGACTGTATACATATAACTAGTCCTTAACTAGGGGCAAGGAGCTTGGCGCTGCCACTGGGTAGAAACAAGGTATAGGGCCAAATAAAACAAGGTGGAGGGCTGGATTCGGCCTTTGGACCTTGTGGTCACCACCTGTGGTGCAGTTCTAATTATTAGCTTTTTTTTTTTACACATAAAGAAGAAACTGGGGCTGATAGAAGCTAGGAAGGAGCTGCACCGGTCATAGTTGCAAAGCCATGCCCTTCATTATCATTGGGGTTGCTGCTGTAATAAATGGGTGAGAATAGTTAGAAGCACAGAATAGGGACACGATACTGCTATGTCAGTTCCTGTCTCATAGGAAGGGGTAGAGAGCAATGGAGGGAGGCCAGATCCAATGCCAGAAGTCTGGGCCATCAATCTCATTACTCCTTTTGACTCCTTAGTCAACTCAACAAATATTTTTGGCTTCTACTATGTGCCCAGCACCAAGCTGTGCACTGGGGCTCTAGCAGTGAACACAGCTGACATGGTTGACCTTTCCCTCATGGAGTTTGTGGTCTAGGACCATATCAGCCTCTCTCTGCATTATTCAAGTTCTTAATGATCCTCTTTCCTCTAACTAGAGAAAAAAAAAAGCAAGACAGCAAGCCTGTTTCCTCCAGTGTTATCCTTTATTTTCATCTTCTGACAGCCATACTTCAAGTCTGAGAGGGGAAATGATTCTTCTTGACAGTGATACATTTATCAGTTTGACTGTTTTTGTTAAGTTCCCTAATTAATTCTTTATAGACTTCTATTGGCAACTGAATTTGTCTTTCGAATTAAAAATGAGCATTTGGATGAATTACCGGTGAACATTGTGATCCCTCTGGAGACTTTGCACTTCACATTATTTGTGGTTAGTCTCCCTGGTCATTGGTAGCTTTTGTCTTGCAGTGACACAGCCAGTGGTCACCATGACATAAGACAGCAGTGTCAGCATTCCCCCCGGCAGGTGGGATTTTGGGCACCACTGGACCCCTGGACCATCTCCTGAGCAACCTGGAGAGGGCTCCCAAACCATCTACATCCCCTCAGCACCACAAGGATTACTTTTAAACTTTTTGTGGGTGACCTGAGATCTGTAACTATCAAGAGCCTGATGTGGCTAAACAAATATAGAAAAGGAGCTATAGTGAACCACAGTCCAGAAAAGGGAAAGAGAGAGGAATGGAGGGACAGATGGAAGCACAGAACGAGGGGAGGATTAAGAGAGGAAATTAAGAGAGAGAGAGAGAGACAGAGACACAGAGAGAATGGTTTAAAGAAAGAGAAAGAATGAGACAAGAGTCTCAGAAGAAGTTAAAGAAATATGCAGAAAAAGACTGAGATAAGTGACACATTCACACGAAAACATGGAGAGGTGGAGAGAGGCACACACAGAGACGGAGGGCCTTGCGAAGAGAACATGTTCCCTTCATGTAATGTGAACATGTCTGGGAACAACAGTAGCACAAATTGTGTGATTATCACATGCCAAACACTAATAGGCATTGTTTCCTTCTTTTTGTTCAGCTCACATTATCATTCACATTTGAGGGATGCTGAAACCACTAAATAGCTTGCAGTGGGACACACAATAAGTTTTAGGAGGTGCAGGTATCTGAATTCAGAGCTCTGATCCCACATGAAGCATTTTTCCTCATAGTTGTGAGCATGAGGAGAGAAGTCTGAAAGATTTGGCATGATGTTTGACAGGGGTATGTAATGTGTGATGGATTGGGAGAAGAAGGAAGAGTGGAAGGGTAGAGGGCATCTGAAGTCCTCTTACCACTACAGAGGCCAACCTGAGTTGTGCATTGTGCTTGGCCCTTCCTGGTGGCTGGTAACCTGAGAGGTCCAGGGTAGGTGGAGGGAGGGTACTGAGTGCCTGGGGACCAAGACTCTTGGCCTTTTTATATGTGACATGTCATTTATTCCTTACAACAGGACTTTGAATTTGGAGTATCATCCTTATTATGTAGAGAAGTAAACTGGGGCACAGAAGTGTTAACTAATCTAAGTTCATAATGGTGGCTTGTAGGTGGTGGAACTGGGATTATAGCCCAAGCAGCCTTTGTGAAGGGCCCTGGTCATAGGTCCACATTGATGCCAAGGAATGGGACCAGTATGAAGAGTCATACTCTGGAGGAGGAGCAGCAACACTTTCAAGAAGCCCCTGTGACCCTGTTTGCAAGGAGACCCTGGGAGGCTTGTACACCCATCATGAGAGCAGGTCAAATGCCTGGAAGTTTTGGTAAGGAAAATGAATCTAAATTAATTGGAGCACAAACACCAGGAGATTCCTAATTTCCTACCAGGTGCAGCTAATCAACCCTCCATGAGTGTTGTCCACCATTCCTGACAACAAATGGGATAGATTAGGTATTGCTTGACAGTTTTCAGTTTAATTTTTGATATGCTGAATCCATAATGCTGGGGTTCAAAGAAGGGCACAAATCTATCCTCCATGTATACTTGACATTGATCGGAGCCATAATCAACCAAAAGGTCCCCATCTTTGAGAGTTAACATGGGATTTGGAAACACACCATTAAGACTATCATCATCATAATCAAGAACAGCAAGAAGAGTGGGTTCCCAACACTAAGCTTAATTAATAGATAAGAACATACCCAGGAGGAAAGATAAAGCAGAAGGTAAGAGATTGGGCTGTGGAGGAGAGCAGACCTGTTTGGACTTGCTGACCTTGGCTACTTATTAGCTGTGTGACTTTCATCAATGACTAAAAGTGACTAAACTTCTCTGAAATGAAATCCTGTGCTTTCATCATTGCATGAAACATGGAAGCTATGTCAAACACAGTCTTTTCCCCTGCACAAACAAGTTGATTTACTTACCTGTGGAGGCAAGGACTCCAGCAGGACTAGTCCCAAAGGTTAGGAAAATTGGGCAGGAATATATAGTAGTCAGGAAGGGCTTCCTGGATGAGGCAGAATTTGAACTGTAGCCATCATCATCATTGGCAATGTCATCAGCACGTGCATCATCACCATCGTCATCATCATCATTGTTGATAGCATTAATTGCTATCTTTTGAATATCAACTATTTGCCAGCATGACACTAATGAATCCACATGTTCTTCTTTTTTTCCCTTAGAGCCACCCTGAATTATCTGTCTCATATACGTGTGGAGACTGAAGCTCCAAGGTGCAAGGTACCTTGCCCAAGGTCACAGAACTGGAAAACAGTGAAGAGAAAAATTCAGATCCACCTGACTGCAAAGTTCAGGTAGACATTTATTGTTTTACTCTCTAGCTTATTTTCTACAATGTTTGTAGGACTTTTCCCTTTGCAGCTGAATTGCATTGCACTTTAATGTTGGCTTCTGTTATAACACGATAATTTGTGTTCAGCATAGTTATCTCTTCAATTGGCACCAGCTTCCCCAACATTAGTTTATGTTATTTGTGGTCACAATGTTCCCTCAGTCTCTCTGCCAAGTAGTTAATGGTGTATATACACATGCTTAAGTGCACCCAGGGATCTTGCTGCTAGGTTTTCCTTTGATAGAGTGTCAGTTCCCATTGTTCTGGGAGTACAGGTCCCTGAATTATCAGAAGAGCATGCCTAGTCATTGAAGCTGCATTTAATTGACATGAACATTCTGCTGCTGCTCTAAGGGAGAACATTTTCTTGGTTCCAGTAATAAAGGGCCTCAGCGGAGTGGTCCCTCTGCTTTTCTTACCACAATTGTTTTGTTTTTCAATAATGAAGCCCAATTTGAATCATCTTTGGCAAGAAGAAATATGTTGGAGGGATACTGGGGTATCTCAGAGAATCCAGTGACATAAGACAGCAGAGAATCCAAGTGAATGAACAATTAGGCTTCAAAAAGAAAGAAAAAAAAAGAATGATAGGAATCAGCTGCTCCAGGGACCTAAGTAAAAGAGTTTATGGATCATTTTTCTTAAGTTTGTAACTAAATCCCTAAATCTGGGTTATGTGGGCTTCTTTTCTGGATCAACCATCATTTCATACCCTCAGTCACATGTTGGAGCCTGACTTGTACTTTTCACAAGAACCAAATATTAAATTTTCAGGAATTTTGTGAATTAGTTTTTATACAATTGGTAGCTTCAAATCAGCCATAGTGGTAGTAAATACACCATGGGAATTGACAAGTGCTACAAAGTGGTGCTTTTTTTCTTCTGTTGGCCAGATGGTTTAGCAGCATCCCCTCTCATTATACATGCACTAATTATACAAAGTGGTGTTTAAGAATATGAACTTTGAATCAGACTCTGGGGGGTTGGATGTCGAGCTGCACTACTGTCTTTGCTTTGTGGTCTTAAACACGTTTCTTAGCCTGCCTGCACCTTATTTTCCTCACCTGTTACAATGAGGATAATAGTTCTACACCAAGCAGGGTTTGCATGAGTACTAAGTGAGCTAATGCATGGTGCTTGGTCCATGGAAAGTGCTCTTTGTACACCAGCTATTTTTCACACTGCTTTGCAATTGTATATCTGTTTGTTTGCTATTTTCTGGGGCCTGAATGCCCTGCACAGTTCTTGGTAACAGTAAGCACTACAGTTCTTGATGAATGAGTGAAAAAAGAAAGAGAAGAAGAGGAAAGGAAGCAAAGAAGGAGAATGGGACCATGGGAAAAAAGCTCATCTTTGACTCACCAGTAGCGTCACAGTATTTGAAATTGTGTCTGGCACATAGTTGGTGCTTGGTGAATATTTTTTAATGAATTAGTAGGTTCATAAATCCCAAAGCCCCATTTAGACCACTTTGTTATGTTCTTCTCCTTAACGTCATGTGGACATCTTCCTCTTATGTATATTTCATTCATTATTCATGTTTTTACTCTTTAACATGAATCAGGTCATTTCTTACCTTTACATAACAATATTTTAGATATTTGAAATAAGACATCTCTTCATGTTTTTATTTCTCTGAGATGAAATTTCCAGTAGGTGTGGAGACAGGAAAGGAAGTCTGTCACTAGGGTCAGGCTTAGCAATAGTGTCCTCCTGGCCTTGTACACATGGACTTCCAAAGTTACATCTCTGGATACAAAGCTGTTACATTTTAACACATTCATGGTCTTCCCCAAGCTTCACCCAGGGGCCAGGGTGAATGGACCTATAGAGATTTCTCATCTCCACCACCCTTATCACCTAGAACCAGATGTACAGCTACCCCATCCTCTGTGTCCCAGCACACACAGCCGAGAGGAATTTCTTGACAAAGTTCTATTGGAGAAGTTTCCAAGAATTTAATTGGCTACGAAGCAGAAAACATAAGAGCAAGATAATTACTGTGATGGCTTGTGAGGCTGAGGTTTGTCAGCTCAGAGTCTGTGATATGCCTGACCTTTCCCCTCATTGAGAGATCTCTCGAGGGTCCCTTAGAATTATGCAAGACAAAGCTAGCTCTCAAAGCCTGGGGGAAATTTAATAACCTTATCAAGTCTTGGGATAGCTATGTGATGTCTTCAGGGAGAGCATTTCCAGTCAGACTCATCTAGGTTCAGAAGCCCCTGTCCACACAAGCCAGCATGGGGGACAATTTGGGTCATTCTTAGTGCAGACACCTCTTCCTTATGCTCTCCATGGGTACAGCACCTCTCTTCATTCTCCCCATCTTTCTGGAGCCAGGAGAGGTATTTGGTTTTTGAAGATCCCATTTAAAACAACAACAACAACAACAACAACAACAAACTTTTATAGACCAGGAAGCAGTCTAGGTCCTTATCAGGGTCATAAAGGCAGGCAAAAATAATATCGAAGATTATCAGAGGCATACTCAAATCATACTCAGAATGGAACAAAAGGAAAGTCTGTATGCTGACCTCTGGGTCTACAAGCCAAATTTCTTTGAGGTGATTTTTTAGCCACAAATGCAGAATACTCACTAAGTGACTCAAGCTGGGCTTGGAACCCCGACACCTTTTTATTTTTTTAGGTCTGGTTGCAGGAGCCCTATGACGTTAATATGATTGCCTCCATTTTACAGATCAGGAAACTGAGGCACAAAGAGTTTAAGTAACTTCTCAGGGACACACAGCCAGCACTTGGCAGAGCCAGTCTTTGAACATAGGTGTGTCTGTCTGACTCCAAAATTCATGTTCTTTCTTCTCTTCCTGGCTGCTTCTCTGTAATTTATACATCAACCATGTTCCAGAGAATTCTCTGGCTCTTCACCTGGTGGCAGAATCTATAGGAAAAGAGATTTATATATCTTTTGCACTGAGTTTTAAACTCCAGTGAATTCTCTTGGTGATTGTGGCTTACGTTTTTTTCTTTTTTTTGAAGTGAATGGGGATTGTCAGGATGACTCAAGGGACAACGATCTGGCCATTGTGCAGGGCTAAGCACATCTACTACCTTTCATGAGAAACAGCCATGTCTGGTGTCAAGAGCCATACCACTTCCAGAATGCAACCTGTATGCTTGAAAAGCCACTGAGAATGTTTTTTCACCCAATGTTCAAAGATGGCAAATAACTGCATGCTCACTGGAATCTGACAATACATTAGGGCTCACCAGGGTGGAAGAGAAACTGCCTGACAGGGACATGATGAAATTGCTCATCTTTGCCTTCTGGATGGAGAGCTAGGAGGCAAAGAAGACAGGAGGGAGGTCTCTGCTTGCTTAGGAGCAGAGCGAGCATGCGGTTAGTGCTCATTAAGTTAACTAAGCATAGAGCTTCCATCCTAATTACAGCAGGGCTGCACACCTTGCACATAGCCCAACGAGATGGATCCCTGATGCTTCTTCTACTGGCCTGGAGCAACAGTGCTAATTGAAGCATATCTTGCAGTGCCTCTCTGGAGGGGAAACCAGCTGCAAACCACACATGAGCCCAGACTCACTGTCCTGCTCCTAATATTTATTCTTGAGTTGTTTGCAAAAAAACAATCAGCTTAAGAAGGAAGAGTTTTTTGCTTTTTGTTTTATGGTTTTTTTTTCCATAAAAAAATGAACTTGCAGGCAGTTAGTGAGACTGCAAAACTAATGTCAGCCTGGACTATTTTCTGGATATAGTATTTGGAGTTTACCATGTTAGATTATGAAAGTGCAGCAGTGGAACTAAAACCAAATCATGGATTTGTGTGTAGGTGTCGAACTTTAGGGATGAAATAGTCTCTGCCTTAGCTAGTTCTTCCACTGCCTGCGATACCCTGGAATTTCATGGGTTTTACTTATTTGCAGGTGTTCTGCCTTGTTGTAAAATGAACTGGAGCCCTGACCAAGTGGCTTAGTTGGCTGGAACGTCATTCTGTACACCAAAAGGTGGTGGGTTTGATCCCTGGTCAGGGCGCATGCCTAGGTTTCAGGTTCTACCCCCAGTCTAGGAGCATATGGGAGGCAGCCAATCAAAGTTTCTCTTTCACATAAATGTTTCTCTCTCTCCCTTCCTCTCTCTAAAATAAATAAATATAAACATGTCCTCTGGTAAGGATTTTAAAAAAATTAAAATGGACTGGAAGCTACTAAGCAGGTCCTGGTAACTACTTACACCAGCTCATGAGAACTAGTTGTTAAATTGTTAAAAACTTGGTGAGTCCAGTCCTTTTTTAAAAAAATATTTTCTTAATTATGCTATTACAGTTGTCCCATTTCCCCCCCTTTATTCCCCTCAACCTTGCACACCCCCTCCCACCCACATTCCCCGCTTTAGTTCCTGTCCATGTGTCATAAGTTCTTTAGTTTCTACATTTCCCATACTATCCTTGCCTCCCCCTGCCTGTTTTCTACCTACTGTTTATGCTACTTATTCTCTGTACCTTTTCCCCCTTTCTCTTCCTCTCACTCCCCTGTTGATAACCCTCCATGTGATCTTCATTTCTGTGGTTCTGTTCCTGTTGTATTGTTTGCTTTTGTTTTTGTTTTAGGTGTGGTTGTTAGTAATTGAGAGTTTGCTGTCATTTTACTATATGTGTTTTTTATCTTCTTTTTCTTAGATAGGTCCCTTTAACATTTCGTATAATAAGGGGTTGGTGATGATGAACTCCTTGAACTTTACCTTGTCTGAGAAGCACTTTATCTTCCCTTCCATTCCAAATGAAATCTTTGCTGGATAGAGCAATCTTGGTTGTAGGTCCTTGTCTTTCATGACTTGGAATACTTCTTTCCAGCCCCTTCTTGCCTACAAGGTCTCTTTTCAGAAATCAGCTGACAGTCTGATGGGCACTCCTTTGTAGGTGACTGTCCCCTCATCTCTTGCTGCTTTTAGGATTCTCTCCTTCATTTTAATCTTGGGTGATGTAA